GCGAAACGAACTAGCAAGTGCGTGCCCCCACAGAAACAGATACCTACTCAAGAACTTTGTGAGCAAGTAACGCAATCTTTTAGCAACACGAGATTTTTCAATGTTATATAGCATCTGTTTTTCCATATCATAGCAACTGTTTTTATATCTCATAGCAACCTAAAGTTAGATTTTAATTGCCAGCTTGTGTAATTTAACGGTCATTCGTTGATATTGCCTGATGAGTGTGGTCATCCTTTGACCATACGAAACAGCGTTGTCGCAATAAAACGACGAATTGAAGTCTTGCTACCATTGTTTATTATCTATATATATCAACAGGTCATGCAAAAAAGCTACTGTCACAAGTTAATTTTGACACCCCCAAATAACAATACAGGGATCCATATTCACAGCTGTCCAGTCGTCCATGACGACTAAAAAATCGTAGGGACAACCAAACCGATATGAAAACTCATCCACTGGATGAGTTAAGTCTGACTCTACAGAAAGAAAAAAAAAACTTTTCTTAAATTTTCTTATAAGTTCCCTGCATTCTGACCACTTGTCATTTGTTTGGAATTTTTAGAAAACATAGAGAGATTTGCAGCTTTCTTTTGTGATAAAATCATATTTTGGTCTGCCATCTTGGATGATGTACATGTGGTATTCTCCATTAATGAAATCATTGCAGGCTCAATGTTCATTTACATGTAGTCAACTGCTGATGCTCTGTACTGCATCTGCATCTGCAAAAATGGCGGGATCGTATCTATTCAGCTGTTTTGATCAGGATATGGCATTAAGTAATAATGTTTACACTTTGGAAAACAAATACGAGCAGGAAGAGCAAAAGTGTTCCTTTCAGCCTTCATGGCAGTCAAAGAGGCCTTGGTTTTCATTTGTACCTGAATTTTCTGTGTCTGCTGACAGCCGCAACTATGGACATGATGTACTGCAGTGTGTGTACTGGAAGACTGGTTATGTGAAATTCATAAAAAAAAGTAAAATCTGCATTTACATGGTGTTCTGTTGCAATTCTTCCCTATTGAACGGGCAAGTAAAATTTTGCCAGGGCAAGTATGTCATCTGGCATACTTGCCTGGCTGACGACTTGGAGAGAAAAAAAAAAACAATATGGATCCCTGCCAATATATGATAAATGTTTATATTTAAGTACATGTAAACTTCCAACTTCTCTAACCATACAATAATTAAGGGACCTGAAAAATGCTTTACCCAAATAAACCAAAAAACTAAAAATAAACCTAATATGTCCCTCCTGACTAGAAAATGCAATTCTGTTAGTGCTTCATGTTTTAGTCACACATCCCTCTTACATTGTAATTGTACAATAATGTATGGTGCCAAGAATAAAAACAACAACAACAACAACAACTTAATTACATTTACACATGCACACAAGTACTCCCTTGCATTTCACTTCATGCACTGATTTAGTAAAATATATATTATTATTTAACAGAACAGTACAGATGTCATGACTTAAAGGACTCTGGATTCAGGATTGAGTGGTTAGGGTTAGAGCTCTGGCCCGCGTCACAGTATTGTGATCTTTGACAAGACACTTTACTCTCACAGTGCCCCTCTCCATTCAGGTGTATGAATGGATACCAGCAAACTGTTGGGGCAACCTTCTGTTGCCTTGTTGTCTTTCCGTTGTATTGTTACTCCTCCATTCCTGGGTGAGTAACAACCTTAACCCTAACCCTGAATGTAAAGAAATTGAAGTTGAGCACTGAGTTGGGCTTAAATAGGAGACTCAATACACATTTTTAGAACACTGCAGTTCGTACCTTTGTGACATCTTCTGGTGCATTTATCAGCCGCAGTTTGTCGGTCTCATTTAAGCTAATGCAGAAAACAGGAGCCTGCCTTGGTTGAGATTGTCTGAAAAGCAGGGCACTTTTGTCAGACAATTTCCTTGAGCTGGCAATACTGGCAATGATCATCCACCCATATGCTTGCATGCTCTCCATCAGCTTCAGTACCAGATATCTTGAGTCTACTGCTTCCTCACCTGATGCCCACCAAGGGTTTCCTCTCAGCTTGAACTCCCAGCTGTCAAAGTAGCGTGACTCTTGCTGAATACCCCTTCGCCAAGAGGTTTGGATGACATCACGTACGGCGGAAATCAAACTCTCTGGAATGCCTATCAGCCTCAGTGAGTCATGCTTGTTGAGACTTATAGTGAAGTGTGCAGGAGGAAGCTGCCCTTGTACAACATTTGGGTTATGCTCAAAGAAAAAGGTGTTGGTACCACTCTTAAGGTTGGAATTTCCATACAGACTCCACTGCCTAGCGTGCAGATCATTCACAAGTGTTTGCAGAACCACTCTTGAATGAACGGTTTCATCGCCATCTGGATGCCAAGGGGTACCTTTCAACTTGATCAACAACACAGAATCCTCATACGACCATCTTTGTATTCCACGAGGCCATGATTTGTCGAGCACGTCCTTGAATGTTTGATGGAGTTCAGCCGGTGCGTTGAGGACCATTAAACTGTCAGAGCTACTAAGACCCACAACCATAAATGGCTGAGACGACAGTGTTGCAACTGACACTTTCATGAAGATCCACGTGGTGAGGTCAGATGTCCTTGTTAAGTCACTTGAGACGAGAAGCTTCCATCCATCGCGATTGAGTCTGTGTAAAATACCACTGGCCATTTTCCTGGAGAGAGCAGCATTACTTGATGAAATATTCACGGCAAATGGATATCCGCACAACTTGAATTCGTGTACACCATTCAGCATGAACGTTTCTCTCTGTATTCCCGGAAGCCATGTTTCTTGGATTACCTGACGAATGATGCTGATTTCGTAATCAGTGCCATAAATAACACGAAGTTTATCCGAAGGTCGAACGGCAATACACATATATTCAAAACCCAATGGCCTGGGAGGCAAGTTAGACTGAGAACCACCCATTCTCAACGCTATATATATGTATCTAAATGCTGGTTAACCCACTAGCTATGTGACCTGAGAACCAAATATTGGCTTAGGATAGTCACAAACAGGGCGGCGTTATTTTGGGCCGCTGCACGATAGATAACTGGGAACTACTCAACCTCGTTCCCAGAGTCCTTCCTCTACCTGCCTTCAGTGAAACAAATCCTGCGCTGTGATTGGCTACCCGAGCGAACAAGCCATGTTGACCTCAACGCTTGGTCAATAGCCAACCCAATACTTATATGCTGGCGAAGCAGCTGTCGAGGGTAGGTGTCTAATTCGCCCTGAAAAATATCTCCCTCCAGAAGAATTTTCCTAGTGTTCCTCTCAAAAATATAATGACTCACCCCTTGATCCAAGTTTCAATTTGACCGGAAAAGGAATTTCCTACCTAATCAGTCATGATCAACAACACAATATGAACAGCGTTTCGTTATTCCTTCGCGTGCAACCCCGAGCGGCTTCAATATTGGCTTTTCCCCCTGAAATAGCCGAATAGTCACAAAAATCTGCAGTCCTAACCCTAACCGAGATGACGGGTATCCCTAACCCTATTTTGTAAATGAACATTTTCTCCCCGAAGGGACTGCCCCAGTACTTCTGGGATGATAGGTTGAGAACTACCTCCTCTACTATACATAAACAATAGCCTCCATTTGGCATGAATTTATCCATGGATATTGTTTGCGGCAAGAGTAAACAGTTTTCCGGTATCGTAGCTCTAGGAACACTGTGAGCTTTGAGGAACAAATAATGTCCTAGGGCAAATATCCGGGCATATTTTGGCGCCAAATGGAGGCGAGAGATGTGTTTACTGTCCTTCAAATGTTTTTCCCAACACACGTGCAGTTTTGAAAATTGGGTAATATCACTCGGATATTCCCCAGTTTTAACTGGCGAATATTCAGTCACGTGATGCGCTTTAAACGATCGTTCGCGAGCGAAAATATTTGATAGATTATAAAGAACTTAACAAATCAAATGTGGTTTAGCGTGGTTTGTACTCTTATCGACAACTATACGCGTCATCACAGTAGTCAAAATGTTGTGGACTCACGAGGCGCAGCCAAGTGAGTGACGCGTATCGTTGTCGATAAGAGTACAGACCACGCTAAAACACATTTCGATTTGCTTTTTTACCACAATATCGACGTCAAAGAAAAGATTGTTTCTTTTTCAGAGCGCGAGCTGAAAAAGGCATGGCGTGACACATTGTTATCTGGACTCTTATCGACAAAGGCAAATTAGCCAATCAGATTGCAAGATTAGTAGCAATTTGTGGTAAAAAATATATTATATGAAATCACAAGAGTTTTGAAGAAATCATCGGTTTTCTTGTGGGGTAGACCTCAAGGCTGGTTGACGAGTGGGATATTTCGAGAATCAAGGAGTTGGACTGGATCCTTAGCTTCCGGGTGGGGGAAAATTAAAGAGAAAATGATCGATAATGATTGGTTGAAAGAAGAATCCAAATCCATGCCCAGTGGGCAAATTCGTGGTTTAATTTATAGATCAGAAGAAACAACCACAAGGATATATCGATAGTTTACCATGGCTCCCAACCCTTACATAGAGCCGAAAATAAGGAACTAAGCAGTCACCGGTCCCTCTTAGCTCTAGACGAAAAATGATTCCATTGGCTAGATTCTTGTACTGAGAATGACAGTGGCGGATCTAGGGGAGGGGTCCGGGCTCTCCCCTAATTTTGGGCAAAAACAAAAAAAAATTCACGGAAGGAAGAAGAGCCGGCAGGGCAAGCAACCCCACCTCCTTTAGCTCAAGGTCTCATGTTTTACCAATTTTGGATTTTTTGGTTAATCGTTTTCATGGGAGAACTGAATGCCTTAAAAATGTGTTATGTGTTAAACTGCCGACTACCCCCAATAACTGAAGGTGGTTTTGACTTAAGGTTACTTCAAACCTTCGCGGGTGTCCTCCAGAAAAAAACTCGTACGCGCGCTGTTTTCAAGGAAACCCCCACAAACTATATATCAACAGAAAGGTTATAAAATGTAGAATTCGATAAAAGTATGTTTTGTTTTGGATTTTGTTTTCCAAAGTCGGCTGACGCCGTCAGCTCCAAAATGACCGACTGACGTTCCATCGAATTAATAGGGTATCAAATGCGATCGTTCATGCAATATAACTGTGCAGTGTTAATCACAAAGCCTCAATCTCCAAAGACGTGTCAACATTTTCTTTTATTTCTATTGGTTATCTTTTTATAGATCTGTCAAGTTCGACTATCGAAAAATTCGCGTAACCTGTTGCGTTAAAGGCCGCCACGAGGAAAGTATGTAAAATAAAGGAATTCGCCGACACGCTTTTGTTCCATATCTATCAGTGAATGTTCTGACCAAATTTCATGGAAAACCGTCAAATCTGCATACCCTATTAATTCATTTAAAGCGAAGGGATTCTCTTGAAAAACGAGTGCGAGTTTTCGCCCTCTAAAGATTCATAAACATATCACGCCTTCACAGAGGAATGTGTTAACTTGAAAAGCCGCGAGCCAATGAAATAATAGAACCCCTAGCACTCACAGTATGCAAACTTGAGCTTCGCGGACTTTAATTTTCTTTACCAAAACAAATCGACCAACGTAGCCCCGCGTGGGTTTGAAGTAACCTTAAACCTTACACCATTTCAGACAGGAGAGGGCGGAGAAGAAAGTGCCCGCTCCGACTTAAATCGTTTATAAACAAGAAACTATGGTATGAAATGTCTTTGTAGTCACAACTTAATGTTTCTAAGGCAACTGCATATTGACAGGCAGGCAAGTTTTTCTTAATTTTCCGTACTATATACCTTCGAAGTTTCGTTACTATTGCTTTCGCGTTTATGAAGTTCCATGGTGGGAACCTACAACCTGTCAAACACCCGTCAAATGCCCGAGGGATGATGAGGAGGCTTAAAATTGACAGAGGCATAACCGAACGAGGCGCGAAGCTCCGAGTGTGTTATAACCACCTCGTGTCCACAAAGTGCTAAAGGAATAATTTTCCAATCCAATTTGTGGGCATTTTAGTTTGATCGAAATGAAGCAATGCTATGGATAGGGCGGGAAAGTTAGCTTGCAGTGCGGGCGTTTTCCGTGTGTTCATGTACGGATTATCGGTATTAGCATTCAAATTGTTGGCTTAGGAAAAGTAAGTGGGGTGGGGTCCTCCTCCTCCGTTACTCTTCTTTCAGCCTAACCCCCACTCCCTAGGATGCCTTTTCGTCTCTCCCCAAGCCTCTTCCGAGTTTGGATCCAAGATGGCGCTCACTTGACAAAATACGCCTGCTTAACAGGCTACGGGAAAGTTTCTTTGAAAATTTCTCACTATTTGATTTGAATGAAGCATGTCAGGAAAGCGCGCGAGACAGAGTTTTCTGCCGAAATATTCTTCGCATATTCACCTCCAAAGTTATCAATACACGCTGTAAAAATGTGAAAATTTAAATAAACGACAAAAGGTTTATGAGTTTCCAAAGTAGTAGCGCAATTCCTGAAGAATATATGCCTTCTTCGAGTCAAATGAAACAAAACTTAACCTGTTTACGCGGCTGTCGTCAGCAACAGAACCATTGAAGTCGTGTTGCTCAGAATAGATCGACTTCGCGTGATTTTTACCCGGCATAGTCAATCGAACCCATGCAATTGAACTGTATTTCAATCGAACTCAATCAAAGTAAATCGAACAATTGAACCAAATCAAACTCACACAAAAATAATTGGACAAAGGAACTAAATCGAACTTTTGATTTTCGAACTCTTGATTTTTTGTACAACTGGCGTGGAAGATCAATAATAAGTCTTTCGAGGCTGGAGTTACTTCGGTATAACACCTGCTTTTGGTGTTTTCGAGACCATATAACATAATCTTTGTTCAAGCGAATTTGTTCACCGAACAATTGACGCAATCCATTGGATTGTGTTCGATTGAGTTCGGCTGTCGAACTCAATCGAACACAATCTAATCGATTTATTTCGGTTCGGTTCGATTTGATTCAGATTCGGAAATCGAACTCAAACAAAGTTCGGTGTTCGATTTGGTTCGATTGCCGAACTACTCAGTCGAACACAATCCACGGATTAGGCTCGATTGGGTTCTATTGGGTTCGACTGAGTTAGATTTCCGAACGTTTGATTGGCTATGCTGGGTTTTTAACGACTTGAAAAAGTCCCAATTGCCGTAAGTTAACAAACTTTTTAAAGAGCTAAACTCGATTTCATATTGAAAACTGTTTTCACTCTTACTAAACTGGAACGATGTGTCGGTTTTTGGATCTTCCAGTGAATTTTTTGCAGCCTTTCTTCTTCATGAAGGTAATTTTGTTCATCCCCCATACAGGTCTTGTTTCTGAGGTAATTCCCCTCAGTTATTTTTACATCACTTTGTTACGCTGGCTCCGAAATATAATCCTAATAGGGTCTAGAAGTATAGCCAATTATTAAGCTTACTTTGGCAGCTCAGTAAAATATATGTTTCTATCATGTCTTTGTTAGGGTATTTTGCTGATTAAAAGCAAAAAATGAGCGTTTAATCTACAAAGAAAACTAGCTATTTCATAGGAGAGGCTCGATGCCTGGAGTGAGCCGAAGGGGGAATGTACTGAATAATTTGTTTGATGGTTATATAACTTCAGAGTACTGGTGAAAGACCAATTGAAGGTAGTTTTAACTGTTTTATAACATAACAAGAACACTGTATCGTCGATGAAATGCTATACGGCATGTCTTAATGTGGAATCCTCCCCATGGAAAGTACTTGTTACGTACATCAACTAATGGTTTCTTTTTACGCAGTTCCGTAGCTGACTTCAGTTTTTTTGAAGTTTTAACTTAACAATCAATTTACGTTTTCCTAGAACTAATTAACTTACCCCACAGGATGTTAATTATAAGGTCATTCTCAGTCTGTAGAATCAATCGTTTCTTTTCAACTTCACCTTTGAGTCCGCCTTCTAGCTGGTCTTATATCCTTCTTGTCAGTGCTGCTAAATTTAGTTTCAGCCGTTATATATCAGTCATATTGATTGAAAATAACATTTTTTTGCGGGTTACGCCGCTATGATCACAAGAAGATGTACTCTGAAGCTACCCTTTCTGTGATGGTCGCCTTTCAAGAGGATAATTTTGCAGAAACGTGGAAATATTTGTTTTTGCAATAGCTCAACAAACACTCCAGTTTCCGAGAATACGAGAGAAGCGACATATCACATGCAATTCGACAAATACACAACGGTTGTTCAAGAACTACCGGTAGTGTATATCTTGAAGATTTTTACAGTGCAAATTCTACCAAAGTAGGCCTGGCCAATATTTGTTAACGAATGACACTCGGCAGTTTCTTTATAATAAACTTCTAGATAGCCCCAGATTGTCGACCAAGCTTTCCTGAATTCAAGTTTGTGACCAACTTTACTGTACGTTGTTTCTAATCTTTCTTTTTAACTATATCGAAATGCCACTTTTCATTACAATCGATTCTTTTAAGGACGTAATCCAATACTGAATTTTAACAATGTAAATTATACAAAAAGTATATTGTCTGAGTTAGTCTCTGAACGGGGTTTCATTACAAAGGTAAATTTCGGGAACTAGCTTATTGTCTGATTAATATAGGGTGTCTGTTTAATCGGGGATCCCAATCATAGAAGTTTCACTTTTTTATTGTAAGTTTTATCATAGTTAATACAGGGAAATGGTTAAGATGTCCGGTAAACATCAAAGACGGAAGCAAACAAACAGGCTAAGATTTATGTTGGAAGGTCCTTGACCCTGCACATCTTTTGTTTTAAGCTAGCAATGCTTTTAGTGGTTCGTTGTATGAGCACATATCACACATAACCACTTTTGATATTTTGTCAGGTTTTTTGCAGGGTCAACC